CAGGGTCTCCCACGTGGGTGCAGGGGCCCAAGCACTTGGGCCATCTTCGACTGCTTTCTCAGGCCACAGCAGAGAGCTGGATTGGAAGTGGAGCAGCCGGGTCTGGAACTGGCGCTTCAGGCCAGGGCGTTAGCCCGCTTTGCCACAGTGCTAGCCCCTCTACTAAAATCTTAACTTCAGTTTTTTTGTATTTCAAGATTCTAAAGTTTTCTGTTTTATTCTGCTTTTATAAATTTAAATTCTCTGATGAAATTTTCAATCTTGTCATTTATTTTCTTAGTCATATTAGCTTTAGTTATTTTAGATAACTGGCTCACCTGTGCAGTTTTTTCCAATATACCAGCTAGTTTTTTCTTAGTGTGGATTTGTAGTATGCCTTGTACATTTGATGGATATCAAACATTGTGGAAAAATTATAAAGGTTGCATGTGATATTATCTTTTTCCAGGGAGTATTCTCCTCTTCTTCTGGTGGGCAGCTAGAATGGAGTTAAATCACCTCTACCTATTTAGAGACCAAGTTAATTAAGGGCTGGTTGTGATCTTTGTAATGCTCAGCCCAACTGTGGTACATGCCAGTCCCTTGGGGAGCAGAGATATTCATATAGGCACCTCCTCATCAATGACCCTGAGCTCCACTTTTGTGCCCCAATCATAGGGAGAGGCCAAAACATCCATTCAGCTTTTTTTTTTTTTTTTTGACAGGCAGAGTGGACAGTGAGAGAGAGAGACAGAGAGAAAGGTCTTCCTTTGCCGTTGGTTCACCCTCCAATGGCCGCCGTGGCCGGCGCGCTGCGGCCAGCTCACCGCGCTGATCTGATGGCAGGAGCCAGGTACTTATCCTGGTCTCCCATGAGGTGCAGGGCCCAAGCACTTAGGCCATCCTCCACTGCACTCCCTGGCCACAGCAGAGAGCTGGCCTGGAAGAGGGGCAACCAGGAAAGAATCCGGCGCCTCGAGCGGGACTAGAACCCGTTGTGCCGGCGCCGCAAGGCAGAGGATTAGCCTAGTGAGCTGCGGCACCAGCCCCATTCAGCTTTTTAATTTTTTTCTTCAATGCTAAACTATTTGCCTTAAATATGAAGGTACTTCAATTTCTGGAAAATAGAATTAAAAAATAAGTTTATTTTGGTGCAAAAAATTTGGAATCCATGTACAAAAAATTTGTATTCTAAGCTTTTTCATGAACTTTTTGAAGACCCCCTCATGCAGGGGTTTCACTATTTTTTTTTTCACACTGAAATTGATTTGTTTAAAACCCAGTTTCCGGGCCGGCACCGTGGCTCAATAGGCTAATCCTCCACCTTGTGGCACCGGCACACCAGGTTCTAGCCCCGGTCAGGGCGCCGGATTCTGTCCTGGTTGCCCCTCTTCCAGGCCAGCTCTCTGCTGTGGCCCGGGAGTGCAGTGGAGGATGGCCCAGGTGCTTGGGCCCTGCACCCCATGGGAGACCAGGAGAAGCACCTGGCTCCTGGCTTCCAATCAGCACGGTGCGCCGGCCGCGGCAGCCATTGGAGAGTGAACCAACGGCAAAGGAAGACCTTTCTCTCTGTCTGTCTCTCTCACTGTCCACTCTGCCTGTCAAAAAAACAAACAAACAAACAAACAAAAACCCACAACAACCCAGTTTCCAAGTTTCCATAAACTTTGTCAAATACCCTTGCGCAGCATTCCTAAGGGGGGAGAATTGGTAATGTTTTTGATCAATTGTTATTCCTATTTTTTTTTTTTTGGTAGGGGATATTTTGGACCTTCAACTCTCCTTTCCTTTGACATCCTAAAATGTTGATTTTTGTCTTCTCTGATGCGGTTCCTATCGTTCTGATGGCTTCTGTGCCTCTTAGCGGCTGGCTCCCGTTCTGCTCCTCAGCCTCTCACTCCGTGACGCTTGTGCCCCAAGGGTCAAAGTGCTACCCAGAATGCCAGGCTCACCCCTCGGACTCACCCGTTTTCCAGGGGTTTTGTGTCTCAAGTCCTCGCTGTCCCCAGCGCTTCCAGGCTTACTGTGTGTTTGTGTTCTATCCCGCCTTTGTGGTTATTCTTGGTGGGAACGTTGGTCTGCCTTAACCCGTGTCATCACAGCTGTACTTGAAAGTTTCCCAATTGAGTTTTTCTCATGAATGATTTCACTAACGCACTTTGATTCTTGTCCCTGGTGGTCCCCATGTTTTGCTTACTGCCTCTCAGGGCTGCTGCGGCTGGGACACAGTTGTGTGTTCGGTATCCTTGCTGTCTTCTCTGGTTGTGTGGCAGCCCCACGGTTCACCCTGTAAGACCCAGTGCCATCTTTCCCCTTTCACCACTGGGAAATGTGCTCACAACGTATAACGGGGTAGAGAGACCTCTCCAAGGAGACCTTTCTTAGCTCCTCAGCTAGTCGTCCTTTGTAAACTCTCATTAGTGTCCTACTTTTTTTTCCCTAGTACTTCTCACAAGAGTATTTTTCTATTGATTAGCGAAACTGGCTGTTAAGTTATCCATTCCTATCCAGACTTTAGACTGGACTGTGAAGATAGTGACTTTGTCAGTCTTGCATCACCAGTGTCTGCCGCAGTGCCACTTATGCATTTATTGAATGAGAGCCTAGTGAAATGAAGTCAGTGTATCAGAGACATATTCATCCCTATATTCATTGCAGCATTAGTCACAATAACCAAGACATGGGATCAACCTAAGTGTCTATCAGTGGATGAATGGTTAAAGGAAATGTGGTCTGCGTACATAATGGACTAATACTCAGCCCTAACAAGAAGAAAATCCTCCCATTTGTGACAACATGGATAAACCTAGAGAACGTTACATTCAATGAAATAAGCCAGGTACAAAAAGCCGGGTACCTGCATGATTTTCCACTTATTTGTGGAATCTAAAAGAGTTGAACTCATAGAAGCAGTAGTTACGATAGTGTTTACCATGGTTGGGGGTTGTTGGGGGTGAGACTGGGGAGATGTTGGTCAAAGCTACAACATTTCGGGAGGAGTAAGTTTAAGAGATCTGTTATACAACATAGTGCCTGCAGTTAATAACAATGTGTTGTATACTTCAGAATAACCAAGAGGGTAGATTTTAAGTATTCTCACCACAAAAAAAAAAATGATACATGAGTAATGCACGTTAGTTAGCTTGATTTAGCTATTTCACAAAAGTATATGTATTTCAGAATACCCCATTGTATGCCATAAATAAATGCAATTTTTATTAAGTTAAAAATTTTTTTTTAAAAATTTGAACATTATGTTGATGTAAGAGGAGAAGGTGATGAGAACTAAAGTCCATTAAAATTCTTCTATTTTTCATCGGTTTGCCATTTTGCAGAGTTACCATGACTCAGAGAAATTATGCTATTTTCTCAGTGTTACATAGTTGGTGTCAGATCCAAAATTCAAGCCCAGGCCTAACTGGTTCAAAAGTACTTGTTGACTATGTGAATTTGTAAATACTCTCACATTTCCATGGTTTCCTTTCTCTATTGACTCTTCAGTCTGATACTTACAGAATTCTAGGTTAGAGGTTAGTGTCTTAGTCTACTCATGTTGGTATAACAAAATCTCATAAATTGGGTGAACCATAGACACCAGAAGTGTATTTCTAACAGTTCTAGAGACTAGGAATTCCGAGATCAAGGTGCCAGCGGTCACCAGTGGCTGCCAGGGCCTGCTTTCTGGTTTGTAGGTGGCACCTTCTCCCTGTGTCCTCAGGGTGCTGAGGGTACCAGGCAGCTCTCTGGGGATTCCTTCACAGGGACACTAATCCCGTTCACGAGGGCTCCACCCTCATGAACTAATCTCCCCCAGAGGCTACACTGCCCCTCACCTCCATGTGGGCGATGGAAGAGACACAGTCCACAGCAGTTAGGTCAAGGGATTTTCCTGGTCGAAAAAGAAGGAAAAAAACCAAAGAGCAGCTGCCTACTTCTTTGTGTTACCTCAAAGACAAAGCGACATGCCTTCTGTTTCAGGATTGGAGAATTACGTGGGTCAGTGTGGGTGGTGTGGGCTTCAGCGGTGACTGCAGTCAGCCTGGACACTGTGCTGTGAAGGTGGCCTGCGGCTGGTTGCCGGGTTGCATGGCCTTGCAGCGAACCTCAGCCCCTACCAGGGACTCCACTGCGGCACCACATGTACTGTCTGTCTCCCTGTATCTTACGGAGGCATGGTCTCCACATCTCAGGATCATTCACGGCCCCATGGCCTGTATCTCCCTGCACGCAGATAACTTCCCCTGTGGAAGAGAGTGTGGGCACGTGTCACACCTGCTTAGCCAGTAGTCAAATCTGTTAGCCATCACCAAGTGTTCTTTTATTTCCAATGAAATATTTTTGGATTTTCAATGTGGTTGATAACCACACATACATCCGTATTGTTTAAATCTGATTCACTGAATCTACTCACTCTGTTAGAAAAAATATAAAACCTGTAACCAGACTCAAGTGGGCAGGACTGCCAACTCAGGCAATCAACTGGTTTGTTTCTGGGTTTAAATCCTGTTAGACCAGATGAATAAACTTCAAATTTGATTTCCCAACTTGACTGTAATTTCTGAAACAGTTGGTTCCTAAACATCTTGTTCCCCTCAGATGATCCAGTCAGGGTAGTAGGGGCATTAATTTGTTCGGTAAACATTTGGTAACTTCTGTTAGAGATCCTCACTGTCAGCAGTAACTGCTTAGTGAATACCCAGTGTGCAACCGTGCGCTAAGCTAGGCACGTTAGCTTCGGTCATCACAGTGCCCCTGGGTGTAGACAGTATTATTTCCATTATGTGGATTGGGAAATAAAAACTCAGGCATGAAGTAACTTACCTTAGGAAGTGTCAGATTCAGAATTTGAACCCTTTTATGCCCTAAAGATTGCTTATTAATATATGCATGTTTAAAGTGTCAAGCCTGGAACACAGAAGGAACTTAATAAATGTTTGCTTTTTCCAGACTGGGAGCACACAGTGAGCTTCCCAGGAAACAGCTGCGTAGTAATATAACGTGGCTTCGTTGTGTCTTTCCAGGGAACGTGAGCAGGATCTCCACGTGGGCCCATTGGAAAATCCCAAAAGTTATGAGTCACTGCAGCTTCCGGGTGTCAGGTAAAGATCGTGTCAGTCTCAGCTGCAAGCTGTACTCTACTATTTGTTCCAAATATTTTCTGGTTGCAAATGTTATTGGTCTGACAGTTTATTTCCCAAGACACATTAGTTCTAAACTGATGTGATAAGAAATTCTCATCCTAAGGAAATTGGCCTTGTGAATGGCTTTCCCTTGGGAAGGATACGCTGTACTTAGGGCTGTACTAATTAGATGAAGAAGTGGCAAATACGATTAGTGAGCTTGGTTGGTGATTTTCCAATAATGGTGTTTGGGGCCTATTATTGGTTTAACTGTAATTGAGCTTAAGATGATCTGAAAACGTCTAAACTAGTGTGAAAGTCACTCACAGCTTTGATTCCAGTAGGGGTACTCATGAATCAGGTGGACCAGTGATCGCTGGGTGTGCTGTGACTGGGGCACACATTCCAGGACAGCCATGACTTATCTCAAAAATACTCTTCCTTTTTACCCTGCTACTGGTGGGAGGAGACGGCTTCTTCGTCAGCTTCTGTCCTCCCCCAGACCCCACCCCCATCGATATTTGGAGCTTACTCCACACTGTCTAGTATTCTTACTTTGGTGCATGTTAGAATAATGTTTGCTATTCAGGATAATTAACTCTAGCTGCTGCAACAAATGCCTGAGGTCTCAGTGGTTGCATAGCACAGTTTATATTTTGCTCCTGATGCACGCTGGCAGGGGCTGTCTTCTGTCTCCCAGCTGGTACCCAGGCATCCAGGTTTCTAGGTTTCTTCCATCCTGTGGTGCCATCATCTCAACACATAACTGCTAGGAGACAATTCTCAATGAATTTCTTGTGTCCTTGTATGGTCCAGGCCTTCCAAGCTCAAGGGTTTTGTTCAGGGTTGGCTGAATAGCAAACAGAAGATAGAGGACCTCTTGTTCACACATTGTGAGATAATAGAGTCCCCTTCTCTTCTGGGAGGAGATTTGCTTTGACCCCCGACATTTGCTTACTTTCCAGGGCAAGGGGTCATCTTTCACCACAGGGCAGGATGGGGAGTTCACCCACCTCCTGGTAGAATCTCACATCTCCTACATGCAGTGCTCTCCTGTGGTGCAGCCCCTGGCACACATGGGCAACATCTTGTGCCGCATTGGGACGTGGAGAGCAGGTGGTCTCCCTGCTGCTTCTGCTGTGATAAAGTCTGTGCCCCTCTGACCTAGGGCTCTGGCAGCTTCGTTAACGTGTGTGTGTGTGTGTGTTGTCGGGGTATGTGTGGTATGCCTGGTATATGTTTATATGTGTGGTAGTTTGTGTTTATGTGGTATATATATATATGTGTGTGCATATAAATGGTGTGTATGATGTATGTGTGTGTGATGTATGTATGACATGTGATGTTTATGTGTGCTGTGCGTTTATATTCATGTGATATTTGTGTATGTTTGAGAGGTATGTGATATGTGTGTTGTGTATATGAAGTTTGTGTATATTTTATGTGTGGTATATGTGTGTGTGTTTGAAGTTGGTGTGTAATGTATGTGTATGGTATGTCTATGTATGATATATGTAGTATATTTGTGTGTGTGATGTGTATGTGTGCTACCTGTGTTTGGTTTATGTACATGTGATATTTATTTATGTTTAGGATGTGTGATAGTATGTTTATGTGATGCATATGTGTTTGG